TTCTGAACTTATTGATGATTTTAAAAACTATCAGAAGATGCATAAAAAGTTTATTAAAAATAGCAAACAGGATAAAGTGCATTTGAAATGTGATCTAAATTAAACCAGTAAAGATAAAGAAGAACTTATCAAGTATGCTTATCAATTTATAGATGAGATTAAGCGATTGAGCTCAGAGATAGATACTTTAAGATTTCAAAATAACCAATCACAGATATCCCATGCCGAATACAAAGTCAAATATGATATCTAATTAAAAGAAATCAAATCACTTCAAGCTATGAACGAGATATTAAAAGATAAGTTAACTTCAGCTCAGAGAGATGCATTTTTAATTCAGGCCTGTTCATCAAAGAAAGAATTCGAGTTACTATTCACCAGGTCTGAATTGGCTAAAGTGGAACGGGAGTTAGCTTCAGCAGTTAGTGAACTTGAGTGTCTGAAAGCGAAGGCTATATCGGAGGAATCAGTGATTCGAGGCTATACCCCATCTATTGTTGGTGAGGACAAAGAAAAAAATATAACCAAGTTTGACTCACAGAGTGAGGATGCTTTCGCATCTAATAGCTTTGCAATTAATAAAGATAATAAAAGTCTCAGGCCATATCTAGCACGCAGAAAAAGTATGGATGAGAGTGAAAAAATTGATAATAACGAAGTTAGTGCTAATTCACATATTGTACTGGTTCATGATGAACTAGTACCTGATATATCACCCAATATACCTCCAGAGAACACATATATAAGCTCTATACCCGATACGTATATAAGCTCTGACGTATCATCAAGTATACCCAAAAGTGTGACGCCATATCTTGCACAACAGAAGAATAGTACTCCCTCTTTGGTTAAATCACATCCTCAGATTTTGATGGAAGGGATAGAAGAGATGGGACCTAGTCTCGAGACTTTGTCTCTTCCAGTTGTAGCAAGTAGTTTGATGACACTTCTATTGGTATGTATGTTACTTACCTTGTTGGTGCTTGTGATTATCTGGTTCGTGAAATTGAGACGCATATGGGTCATAAGTAGGCTCGAAGAGCCATTGCTCCGCAATAAAAAAAGTGAGCGTTTGCGAGATATGTGAATCGGATAATAGGATTATCTATTTGAACTTGGATATTATTCGTATACAGAAAATATAATAGTTTTTAATCATGACTAATACTTGTTGTAGTTATAAGGAAATATCGTCACCTTTATATACAAATTGCATGTCTCAAAGAGGTGCCCCTGGGCTTGTTACACATTCCTTTATGGTTGTAGGGATGAGATTTCGCGGTGACCATAAGTTTAAGAAATCAGATACTATCACTTTTGAACTGGAGCCTTCGAATACGTATGATAAGAATGCGATAAAAGTTATGGTAGATGATATTCATAAAGCCTATGTGGCAAAAAAACGAGAATGTAAGTATAGGAGATTTGATGAAAAAATACTCAAATTATCGGATCACTGCTCATGGGAAAAAGAACTATAATTAATTGGCATCTTTAAATCTCGAATATCCTTGGATAGTTTGTGGAAGATGTTGTGATATACTACAAGCATCGAGAGATTATGGTTATACTTATTAATGGATCTATTTGATTTTGGGAGTTATTTATATACAGAAAAAAAATGTCTAAGATTATTGATAAAAATTTACAGGGTCGGAAATTTATTGTAATCGATTTAACCAAAGCAAAAGAGGATGCTTATTATATAAGGAAAGGCTGGGATACCCCTTTAAAATTAGACGAATAAAATGAGATACAGGGATATACTCACTACTTATGTGTCTTGGGTTGGTTTCAGACTTGTGAGTAATTTTTCCGCTTTTTGCAATTTTAATTTCTGTTGATCGATTTCACTATGTAATTTATTATTAGCATTAATTCACTTCTCAAGTCGTTTAGTGATTTCTTATATAAAAGAGTCAAAAGTTTTTTTGTTGAATTCAAACAATTGTAGGAATAAACCATCTAACTCTTTTTTAATATGACAATTGATCTCTTCCTCACATGCGAAGCAAGGACTCTTATGTGTCTGATCACAAATTGGGTCAGTATCTTAGGTTTGTATTTCTTGATTGAACATATCTGTATCATATAAGGAATTTTTAAATAAAGGTAAACTTTTGCATTGATATTTTAATTTTTTCTAATATCTATTAACTTCATGTCTTAAAAATAATTCGACTAATGGGTTCACTGTATACGTATTACCCAAATCCCAAATTACTAGTATTTGGGATTTGGGATTTGGGATTTTGGTATTTGGGATTTCAGCATTTGGATTTTGAATTTGGATGGCAGGTATAGTTCACTGCACTAGCTTCATCATTTGTTATTGGATTTTTCTTCTGAGATATTAAGCGTTTCCAAGCTTCATTAACTAAGGAAGGTGGTAATTTATTGATCAAACCTGAATATGCTTTATTAAATTTCATGGCTCTTTAAGTTGTTACTTTGCAACTAATATATAGTATCGAGAAATTAATACTGTATTTTATGACGCAGAAAAAAATGGAATCTTTTATGAAAATTATGAAATATATATCGAGAAAAAAATAAATATACATGAATAAATTAATTAAGTATATACTAGGTTTCTATTTCTAAAAGTCACTTTTGAAACTGATATCTTAATTGCCGTTTTTTAGAACCTATCCAATTATACGGAATAATATATTCTTTATATATTTCAATTTCATATTCAGCAACAAAAGGATATCTATATATTTTTTTATATACTCAGCATATTCATTATTAAGATGTATTTTAATTTGATCTAGGGATATAGGATTTTTTATTTTATATGGAATTAATGTTAGAAATTTCTCATCATCTGTAGTATTATCATTTGATAAACTTAACCAAGCAAGATGTGCATTTGATGTACTCTTTCTTGGAATCATCTATATGTCCATTGTATAACTCTGACATGTCCGAAATCAGTTTTTAGTTTATCACATTCATTATCCCAATGACTGATCATTAAATCACTAGGTACGAGACGATCAACATACCTTTCTCTAGTAAAATGGAATGATTTTTTAGGCTTTACATCATTAATTTTTACGAGTTTCCAGTAACCAAAATAAATTGCCATATGGCTCTTATGAATTCTCGGTCTATAATAATTGAAATTAAAAATTTACCTTGACCAAATGATCCAAATAGACAATATCAATGGTACACATTAAATTTTCCAGCGCTCAACAAATTCTGTAAAGGTACTCTAACTCGTATTCCCCATTGAACCAGTGTTTCATTCTGTTTTATAATAGACAGATTGTTGAACAATTTTTCATTATCAAAGAGTTTGTCATATTGTTTTTCATCAAAAGCAAGATAATATTCAATGTACGAAGTAACATATTTAAAATCATATCCAGGGCGAATATTAAAGGGTTTGGGTAATGTTCTATCTTTCTTATCGATAAAAGTTGTAATATCAAAACCAAACATATTTATCGATTATAGAGAATATATATTTAGTGATTTTAGCGTTTTTGACTTACAATATATATGTCTATTGCATGATTTAATTTTTGTTGATTTCAGTTTATGCTTAAAAGATAAAAAAATTATTTCGATATATAAGGGTGCAGAATCGAGACTATCTACTGTTGAGAACATTGTTAATCTTTCTAGCTCATTATCTTTTAGCTCTTTAGTATCTATCTCAAATAGAAACACTCTATTTCTCAGATCCAATGTAAAGTTATTTTTTATTTGTCGATATGCTTCGAAGAAATACTCCTAAAAAGCCAGATTGTATAACTCCTGATCTTATACTGAGAAATACAAGACATATCTCTTTTAACCGTGGAGAGTTTCTGAAGTTATATATTGAAAATATTATCTGAGCTAGGTTTGATTACATATCTGTGTCAATTTGTCATGCATATCATACGGAAAAATAAAGTATCTTGAGTTCAGGTAATGGTATTTATAACAGAACTAGTGTCTCTAACACATATAAAATTACTCGTGTAGATATTGTTGCAACGATTACTTATGATGATTGACAGGCATATGAAATCAACAAATGATAGTCATGGTAGATCGTGAATAGAGAATCTATTTCGGACATATAGTTTATTCTCGGATATAAGTATCAAAACTATACATGCCCCCAAAATTAAAAATCCAAAACCTGACCCCGGTTAATTTAAAATAACCCCGAAATTGAATTCCGAAATTCAAAATTGACCCCGAAATTATTATAAAAGACGAAAATATTTATGGGGGTCGAA